AGGACACCGCCACAATATATATATTAGAGTTGTAGTCCGAATGCCCTCAACTTTAAGTCCAGATGAGCCCTCATGTAACGTATTTCTTCGTCTTTTTTTAGATCTTGAAAATCACCATCTGCAGTATCGTAAGTGATATGTGAGCTTTACTTTTACTGCCAGGAAAATTGTCATTGCACTACCTCCATCGCCACGTGATCCTATAAAGGCTGTTTTCCAGCCGTTTCTGCAGGAAAATATTTAGGATTCATGTCGAGGATGTGTTAGGGTTGTCCAGGCTATGTTCATCAGGGTCATTATTCATGCAACATTTAATACGTTCCGTCACCAAACATCTTTGCCCTTCATATTGACATCAGATCTTACCTGGTTAAACTTGTGTGACGGGGGTACTCAAGTCTCCTTTTTTGACAAAATGAATGGACTAAATGGCCAGTGTACGTTCAACACGTTAACAGAAAGGATGATTCCTTTCTGTCATCAGTCAGAAAGGAAACGTTTCGCACAGTTTGCTATTGACAAAATAACTGCAGCCTTTGTCATTGCTTGTCTATGGGAAATAAATATGTGAACCCTTTATTCCATGCAATTTTATCTTTAAGCGCCTTAAATCATGCGGAAAAAGTATGCTCCTTCACTTGAAAAATAGAAATTTTACTCATGCTTTGAAGTGTGCTTAAAGATATTTATGTGGTGATACATGTACACTTTATTCACCCATACGAGCAAGAATACGACACCTGACATTATCACACGACCTGTATTTGCCACATTCTTTATATAATCCATATACCTTGTGATAAAGACTCTGAAAATTATTTGATCAACTTCTAATGATTCTTTTCGTTTTTAAGATTTCGAGAGTTGGAGACGAGTTCGAGAAAACATTAAATTCTTTCATCAGGTTGCATAAAAAAGCGCCACGTGGGTTCTAGGGAGGCAACGACATAGAGATCCCCTTCAATCCATGCTAGTTGCCTGAATAAATTTACGTTCTGTGAGAACTGTCTTGTCCAATAACCTTGATTTGATGTAGGTTAACGTTTGCCTGAGTCTGATGCGATATAGCAGTCTTGTTTCCGGGTCTACCGGTTTGCTGCTGGGCAAAAAGCATCATTGTTAGCTGGTGGAGTCCTCTGTTCTAACGAGAGTTTTTTTTCTAACAAATTCACACATTGTCATTTTCCCAAAGCTCATTCACTTGATGATGGTGATAATAGCGTTGACAGAGTTTCCAGTGCGTATCTGGTGTCGCATTCACGTAAACAATTCTTCGACTTTCTGAAAGAAAGACATACCAGTATTTGAATATCAACCTTCCACACAAAACATGTCTTATGTTTTACCTTCGGATACGGAGGTATTGTTTATGTGTGTGTTTGTGTGTGTGTTTGTGTGTGTGTGTGTGTGTGTGTGTGTGTGTGTGTGTGTGTGTGTGTGTGTGTGTGTGTGTGTGTGTGTGTTTGTGTGTGTGTTTGTGTTTGTGTGTGTGTTTGTGTGTGTGTGTGTGTGTTATTTGTCATTTAATTTTGCAATAAAAGAGTTAGAGGCACTTTCATTACCTACATGCTCTAAATAATGTATAAAAGTACAATGCACAGGTGTCGTTAGGAAGACCTCAGCATCACCCATAGCTTTCCTAGTTCCCGACAGATGATGCCCTGAGAATACATGTTACCATACTTTGTAGATTTTTGTATGGTATTTTACTTCCCTGTAGTCGGACTGAAATTCTTTCATTCCGTCACCCTTGTCAAAAAAGTTATTTATTGAGTCTGTGTGGTATATTATAGAGGGGATTTATTCTTCACGGATAGCAAGCACATGCAGTCGTCTTTTGAGACAGTCTGTGTGGTTGGTTTGGGTTCGTTTGAGTCCGTGTTTCTGTGGGTATTTCAATGCTGTAAAGGAAGGAAGAAAGCTAATCTCCAAGCAGATCTTTTGGTGGCTGTAAAGACAGAAGCAAATTGGCCAGACAGTTACCATTTCGCCACTCAACATCTGCAGAAGGTCACACTGGACAAGGTTATTAACCGGCACGGAACTTGTCAGAAACTGCTGATGCTGGGTGGTGAAATGGTAACTGTCTGGCCAATGGATACAGCCTGGCCATTTTGATTCTGTCTTTGTAGCCATCAAAAGATCTGCTTGGAGATAAGCATGAAGGGAGGGGGGTTGTAACCGCAGCATTGACCTTAAGGTCAAGTTGGCAGTGTAAATGGTCTCCCCATAGGTCTGGACGACGTGGCACACAGTTACAAATACGTCATGCCATCTCTTTGGTTGCGCCAATAAATAACAAGAATCCTGGATTTGAAACAGAAAATGTTTGCTGATAAAACTTACCTCTAGTTTTCAATGTATTAGAGTAGTTTTTGTGGGTTTCTACAGTGTCCGTTACTCCAGGCGCTGTTTGTCTGTGATACCGCAAACTGCCGTTGCAAATTCTGAGAACCAAAGAAAAAAGCAAGATTGTAAAAAGTCAAAAGTTACCCAATGGTCTCCCTTTGGGAGGCCATAAATCGAAAAAGGGAGGTCGGATTGTAGTTCTTTTATGTATGTATACGTAATCATAAGCAGATAAGCTAATCTGCAAAATTCACGAGGAAATACTGACGAAAATCAGCTGCGTTACATGATAAGACTTTCAAACAAGTTACATATAAGTAAGTAAGGTAAGGTAAGTAAGAAAGACAGGAGCATCGATACATTTCAATGAGGCAAATGAATACCTCATTCCATATCAATACGGAAATGCTATAGTACCATAGGAATATGCTTCTTGCGACATTTGTGAATGACATAAACTATGCAAATCAGGTCTTCATTTGCATGATAGAAAATGCTACAAAAGCCTACTTTCTTAAGTCTCAGACAGGCGTTTGTTTCACGGTTTTTGTATGCGAAGGACACCCTCCGGCCGAAGGGCTACGAGTCTCATAAGAAAAGAAGGCCGGAAAATCTCATTATGTCAGTGAACAGTTGCTTCCAGCCGGCATCCGATATTTGGTTGGGTATCGTCTGCTGCCTCTTTAATTGGGATAAAAGCCGTAGTAAAATGTAAATTGTGGACAAGAAAGATATCATTTTGGTACACTTTTTTAAATCGGAACTGCCTGTATTTTCCCATGGTAACAGCTCATACGCGAAATATCTAACTACTTCGTGTTTCCGAAAAATGGAAAAAAAAACTAGTTGTTGAGAAAACTTTTTCGCAATCTCCGATGACGCAAATGTCTTGAAATCCCACATAGAAAGCACCTATTTGGGTCATCAGGCGACAAATCACATTACCCTTGCTCGCGGACTAATACCAAAAACGCTTCGCTGGCCGACCAATTTGGCCACGCCAAAAACACTTCAATTCAAAGGTCTTTTGGTAAATTAAAAAACTATTTAAAAATCTATATCGATCGCCGAGCAATAGGGAGCCAAACTTAGCGTGACAAGCTCGCAGATCCGGCCGTTTACTGAGCACTATTTGGAACCGTGGTCAGATTAAAACTCCGACCCGGAACCTTAAATACAATGATACATTCGAACTTTAAGACACGTGCGATATTTGGGTAGAGAAAATCATTAACTTTCATAATGCAAATGAGGAGCTCGAGCTTATGCATATTCAAAGAGAGACCTTTATATTACATCATTCCTGAAGGTTAACATCATTTGGTGAAGGTCTGAAGTTGTGGAACTATGATATTATGGTTGAAAAGTATGGTATTAAAAATATCTATTTCTATGTTCTTTTTTTTTCAATTTTCTTTTTCATTAAGTGTAAAAGATCTCTGATTTCAGCAACATGAATGAGAAAGATGATGGCTTCAAACGACCCCTCAGTCGCTTACCGTCGTAATCTATCTTGCCGTCACCGTCTTGGTCAACTTCCCCGATCATGTCATCCACTGTAAAGCAACGAACGCAAACGTTAATACGGTCTAGCCACGAATCATCGGTATGATTATCTATTAATCAATAATGTGATACCTATGGGAAAGCCAATACACTACTTCGATCCCTAGACGGTTATTTAGTTTTACGGTCTGTTGGCATGGAACGTACAGTATTCAGAAGCGTTTTGCTTTGTAGAGCATACCCCGGTCTCGATTTTATATGAGTCATTAAATAAATATATCGTTGTTTGTATATCTTCCGTAACAGTTACATCAACCAAACTACGAACGAAATCGCGTGTGTGTGATTATGACCCCACATTTGAGAATTACCCTGCTTTAATTTAGGTAGAGAGTGTGTAAAGCCTCGGTCACAACCCGCAGTACGTGCTTTTTGTCCGTACGTTTTTTGGGAGGCTACGTCTGCTACATTTTTTCGGAAAACGTGGGGAAGGAGTGGCATCGACGCACGTTACTCGCACGTCACTCGCACAGTTGCGCAAGGTGTAAGGGTGTGGTCTGCACGCCACGTCTGGCCGTGAGCGTTTGCGTGCATCGTACGATCTCTGTGCGATTGCAACTTTACCGTAAGGAGGCCGTACTCACACGTGCGTCTTTCGTACGGTACGCACGGGGCACGCGCGTCGCCCGTACTCGCACGCACGGGTGGTGAATCCGCAGACCGCAGGTTTTACATGCACTTGTAGTGCTACGGCGTGTCTCCCAAATCCGTAGGATTCCGTACGGAGGTGGTAGTCACCACGCACGGATGCCCTACACTTGCCCACGTTTTTCACGTAGACAGCACGCAGAAGCACGTACGGCGGGTTGTGACCGGAGCTTAACCATTGGGATGTCACCTAGTAAACATAAGAGCTAAGGCCATGTTGAATTCATTATATGGATGACATCCTCTGGGAACTCCAAGACTGATGCGAGCGTGGGAATAAAAAAGTTTGGAAAAACTAAACGCACAGAGTGATATTTTATTGGCATGGTGAATAATAGATTCGTTTCCTTTCCTTCACATTTTCTTCTTGTCTTTGGAATGGATTTTGGCATTCTGCGAGATACGTATCGTTTTTCAATATTTTTTTTTCAATTTACGACATTTATTTGCTCATCCTACTTTGTACGAGTTACAGTATGGCCGAAAACGTTTTTTTGAAACGGACGAAATTCACACGCGCGCGAATGCCATCCATATAATCAAATCAACATGACCTAACTGTATCAAATGGATGGAAAGTATCATGAGCTAGAATTTCACGATCTCATGCCTTCTGATGATGTTAACCTTTGCGACTAATAACTTGTTTGTCTCTCATTAATTGAGATCCTCATTTGCAAGAGTTATATCAGTTGATCATATTCTTCATCCGATGGCAGTGTTATTCTAACAAAGGCTGGTATAGCATTTCATCATTAATTATGCAGATGAGGTCAAAATGATCTATTATGGGTTCACCACACCACGAAGTGGTGGTGAACCCTATATTGCTTTTTCTGTATGTTTCTTCTCCTTCTCCTCCTCCTCCTGCCATATCTTTAAATGGATTCAGCTTCTTCATTTTAGGGCCTAAGGTCCTGACATTTGGTATGGAGGTACAGTGGGCAAATACCCCTAGGCGTTTTTTAAATTTTTGTGATACAGGCTTTTAGAATGGTTTTATTTGAGTTTTTTGGCTGTGTTATAGCAAATGTATTACTGTGTTAGTGTGCCGTGTTTACCACGTCTGGGCATGAGTCATCACAATGGAATGCAGGGCATCAACCAATAGGCATGCAGCTTTCCTCTATACTTCTTGCTGATTGGCTGTTGGGATTTAACTTGATTAACACCCGCACAGAGCATTTCCACCTGCACAGAGCATTTCTTGCTGATTGGCTGTTGGGATTTAACTTGATTAACACCTGCACAGAGCATTTCCATACTGACAGTATGTCTTTATTCAAGTGTTTTGGTAGGTATTTCAAGCTTTTCTGCTCCAGCATTGGAATGCGGGGCATGAACGTTTNTTTCTTACGTCACAGACCAGATGAACAGAATAAAGGTGTGTACTTCGTAAACCCGGGTAAAATGTGTGACCTCACAGATCAAATGATCACAACAAATACGTGAATTCTGCATTACGTATAGGTCAATACAAGACATCGTCAGAGAGGTCTGCTGGGTACCTGCCGGGTACCTGCCGGATACCGACCAAAGAGGGTGACAAAATTTCTAACAAAATGCTACTGAAGGTAAACTTTTAATTGTGACCACGACAGCCGATGTCCGCTCGACTCCTGAACCCGGCCGGGGCCAGCCGGGCTACATCCCCGACGGGCACCGGCGTAATCGGGACCTTAGCTTAAAATGTGTGACCTCACAGATCAAATGATCACAACAAATACGTGAATTCTGCATTACGTATAGGTCAATACAAGACATCGTCAGAGAATCTGCTGGGTACCTGCCGGGTGCCTGCCGGATACCGACCAAAGAGAGTGACAAAATGCTACTGAAGGAAACTTTTAATTGTGACCACGACAGCCGATGCCCGCTCGACTCCTGAACCCGGCCGGGGCCAGCCGGGGCTACATCCCCGACGGGCACCGGCGTAATTGGGACCTTAGCTTAAGCAGGCAAAACAGACGTATTTCTTATATTATTTATAGTTACTTTTTTTGCATGTAGAATATTACAACTTTGCACACCAGATGCTATGTTTAACATTTAATTTATCTCAGAGTCTGTTCTTGGTTGTGTCTGATTTGGAGTATCTTCTGTATTTTGTGAAGATTCCAAGCTGCAAAAAATATAAAAATTACTAATCAAGGATACATTGTACATACCTTAGAAATGACATTTTTTCCCTTTGGGTATCCCTCAAATGGCTGCTTTTTAAGCTTAAATTTTAAAAGCTCCGCACATCCCCCCTTCCGCCCCATCCCCCCTCTCGGTCGCTTCGCTCCCTCGACGTGCGTCAGGTAACACTACGCTAAAATAAAATCCTAGCTAGAACCCTGGTAAATCATTGTTTTCCCTTGTGTTTCTCATTCTTTCCCTGCCATGTGGTAAAATGTGGTGAACCCATCGCTGTATTTGCTCCAAAGCAAATATTGGCCTTTCTAGTGTTTAATAGTCTTCACCTTCACTTAACTTCCAAATGCCACATGTATGAAAATCTGGCAGTTACCACTATGGAAAAATAACCGTTTCTCATTGATTATGCAAATTAAGCCTTTAGTTGCATAATCAATATCTGTCCATGTTCCTCTCGTTCTCAATTACATGACATGCATGAGTGTGTACACATTGAATAGCCCTATCATGGAACACAGCAGATTTATAGACTTTCCCAATAATTATGCAAATTAGATTCTGATTTGCATAATTATCATCTTATTATGTCAAGCATCACGTTTGCTACCTACGTACCGAAAATCGTGATGATCTGTCAACCCGTTTTTTTATCTTCAAAAGATTTTTTAAAGTAAATACCTCTGCAGTTCCAGAACAAGCTGCTAAGGAGTCAAATGTACACCACTTACTTCTCACAAGTGATGCTATGCTGCAGTAACTTAGATAGCTGCTAGGAGGCCCATTATTGAACTTGACCTTCATTTCTGCTGCCCAGCCATCCACTAAAGATCAATAACAGCCATCCACTGCTTCTTGAGTTATGTTGTACACAAACAAAGAAACATAAAAAACATAACCTCTGCAGCAACATAGGAACATGACAGGATAATAATTTCGAGCTAGAACTTTGTTTCCATAACCGCTACTCACCTACAAAATATCAAGATTTCTTCACAGCTTCTTGAGTTATGCTGAACACATATAATCAAGAAATACAAAACGCTTACTGCAGTACCGTTGGAAAAAGCCAGGTGAATCATTTTTGTACATGACCTTTGTTTCTACAACGGCTACTTACATACCAATTATCAATAGGTTCCAGCCACAGCTATTGGAGTTATGATGTCGACACACATACAAACCCACACCACAGCTACTGCACCATGGCCAAGCAGCAAGCATACCCTTCTGACGAAGGCAATGATGTCAAGCATAGCTGATGCAACAATATCACAACTTTATACGATGGAAGGAAAGCATTAAAATACCGCCTGTGTATGTTTCAATAGACACAATTATCTAGCCTTACTGAAGGCGTGGCCACACTCACCGTACGATGTTCCTGAATTTTCAAGCAGACTGTGGCAGCACCAATCACCTGCACCAAATAATCTAATACTGCATTTTCGGTAACAACAATCCCAAAAAATGCCTTCAATTTCGTACGACAATCGTGCAACGAATTTGGCCACACCTTTACTCAGTAAAGCTTTACGGGTAGGATGACATCTGTCATTTTGGTTTGCCTTGTTAGTTTATTGTTACTACTACTAGTACATCGTAAGTCAACATTATCTAAGTATATACGCTGGGAACTGTACCAAAGAATTTTTTCTTCATTTTTGTCTTCTTCTGCATTGGTCTTCCTTGTTGATAATACAAATAGAAATCAATGGGTCGATTTTACCTTCTTCCTCGCTCAGATCTTGACCCAGGCAGTTCAAGACTTGTCTAAGGTCCGAAGATGTAATGTAGCCGTTCCCTTCCTTGTCAAACAACTTGAAGGCTTCCCGAAGTTCTCCTTCTTCGTCTTCAGGCAGACACACGTCCGCTTCTGCCTTCAGAATGGACGACAGAATCACCACGAAGTCTTCGAACTGGATAGTCATGCCACCTGGGATGACAGCATGAAAGTTGGTAAGTGGCGTTATGGAACAATCTCAAAATTACATTATGGAACAGCCTCAAAATTACGTTATGGAACAGTCTCAAAAATATTGGACTCACCGGAATTTACGACTGAGTCAGCAACCTGACCCAATCGGCCGTACTCACGTGACACGCGTGAGGTCAGCGATGGGTCGAAGGTTCTTGGAAGTTAATACCACCCCCCGTCCCGCCATCTTTGATGAGAGAAGGTCGGTGCGCCTTCCGGGACGGGGGGGGGTCCAACAAGCAACCTTTGACCCATTCCTGACGTCACCTTGGATGACGCTGCATTCTTTTAATTCCGTATATAGTCGTCGTCTCGTGTAACATAGCTAGGTTCACGTACGTTTCCACTTACCATAGTCTAAAGTAATGTTGGTAATATTCTTTGAATATATAAAAGACATAAAGACTTTGCCATTGATTCTGAGGCATGTGCAAGTAATGTGCATATAAGATACAGGATCAAATTTGTCCATAATTTTGTTAAAAAGAAGATACATCAAATTCAAATTGTTTCTTTGTTTTTCTTTCTGGTTATACCTTTATTAGCGTTTGATGGACCAAATCGTCCATTCAATTTTTAAAAGTTCACTCTGAGGGAGTAGTAAATGGATGGCTAATTTTATCCAGTGTCGATAATTTGTTACGATGGTAAACCACTAGTACTATTTTGATGAGGTACAAATGCAACTAATAAAGAAATCACAAGAAAAGCGTTTTTACCTTCGCCAAGAATGCTATACTTTCCGTAGCGTTAGTGTGTATGTGTGTGTTCGTGTATGTGTGTGGTTTAGCACGATAACTCATGGATTGATTGTCATGAAACTTAATAGGTTGGTAGGTATTTATAAGACCTAGAAATGATTAGATTTTAGGTCCCCTAGCGGCAGACCTTCCGGTTTTGATATGTCATGATCTGAACATGACAGAATTTTGCATGGAAAAAAGCTCTTGTGCCCGGAAAGAAGGGACATTAGTTTCGTGCCCCTGGCAATGACTAAATAACAATTATGCGAATCAGGATCTACTTTACATAATTTATGAGAAATTTCTATAAATCTGCTTCGTTCGATAATAGGACTATAAAACACTTGTAACATGTATAATTGAGAACGAGAGGATCAGATATTGATTATGAAAATGAGCACCTATTTTGCATAATTAATTGAAAATTGTTATAATGTCATAATGGTAACTACTGGGAATTTAATACTTGCCACATTTGGCAGTTAAGTGAAGGTGAACATCATTTAAGATAATTTATTGAAATCATTACCTCATCTGCATAATTTAAGAGCAAATAGCATTTGCCAAAAAACAGTTACTCAAGCAACTGGATATGATTTTGAAAACGTCAGACGTTTCAGCTAGTATCCACTAGCTTTCGTCAGTGACTGAGAGACCAGAGGGGAAAGCAGGTTTATATACACAACCTGTTGATTGATATGCAAATAAAGTGAAGACAATTTTTGGAAGTCGAAAAAGGAACAAAAGTCAGACAAGTCAAGACAAGATGATGCAAATTAGTCTGAAAGCTCCTGCTATACAGGACAGGAGCTTAAGTGTTGTCTGTCCTCGGGGCTGGGAGTGCCAAATCCCAAGTGCCGGAAAGATCGACCCGTAGCCCCCCTTCCCTGTTGAGGGTGGGGTTGTACATTCTTTCATATATTGCCTCTTTAACACCCCGTTCCCACCAGCGTGTTTCGCGGTCTAAGACATCCGTGGACTCGAGTTTGAAAGAGTGACCCTGGTTGTGTTGTAGGTGGTGGAAAATAGCTGAGGAGTAGCCGTTGGCACTAGGTCGGCAATGTTCTTTGTACCTTACTTTAAGCGGTCGACTTGTCTCTCCGATGTAGGTGTTGTTACAATTGGGCTCCTCACATTTGAGTCTGTAAATAACATTCGCCTTGGTACCCTTGTGAGGTCGGTCCTTAGGGTGTACCAGTCTTTGTCTGAGGGTTGAGTGAGGTTTGAAGTTAGTGGCTATGTTGAAGTTTTGGAAGATCCGTCGGAGTTTCTCAGATACTCCTTGGACATACGGAATAGTGATGTTGGCCTTGTTTTTGTTGGTCAATGGTTTGCACTTCTGGGTTTTCTTAGACTGATCTGAAGGTTTGAGCGCTTTGTTGAAAGTCCAGTTTTGGTAGCCACATTTAGCCAGGACACCTCGGAGGTGTCTTTGTTCGTCCGTTTTGGCTTGGTCTGAAGTGACAATGTTGTCTGCACGATGGAAGAGAGTTTTGATCACTGCTAGTTTGTGTTCCAAAGGGTGGTGGGAATCAAAAGCCAGGTACTGATCAGTGTGGGTTGGTTTCCTGTACACTTCAAAACGAAGGTTACCATCTTCCTCTACGATAGTTTTGGTGTCTAGGAAAGGGAGCATGTTGTCATGGCTTGGCTCCTGTGTGAACTTGATGTTGTCATCTATCAAATAGCATTTGCTTTCTTAAGATATACTAAGATCAACTGATATGATTCATGCTAATGAGGCTCTTATTTGCAAATTCAAAGGGTAAAATATGTAATTCTTCCACCAAAGGGTTAATATCATTTGACGAAGGTATGAGATCGTGGAACTCTTGTTATGAATGTTTTGTTCTTTCTTTATTGTGGATTTCTCTCTTTACGTCCCTGCCAGCTTCCTATCGGCGTCCTGGTCACCTACCAGGACCTAACCTCCTGTGCCTGACCTTTTTGTGATCTGTGGAGGGAATTCCCCGTCCATGTGCTGTCAGAACACACAAGCAAACACACATACAAAAGAACAATACATACCGCTGTATACGTGAGTCATGGGGAAATACTAGTTAGGATAATGATCCAGCCATCCGTCTGTCTCAGTAGAGACGGATGTCATTCTCAGTAGACACCCTATTAACGTTAAGCAGCTAAGAGGACAGAACTATACCCTATCGATCTCAATTCATTCCATCATCTCATTACGGGCAATAGGAAGCAAAATAAATCTTCATACACGTTATATAAGTGAGTGAAGTGGCACCAACCATACATGCCAAATTTAACGCTATTGTATAACGCTGCTGCAAAACGCGCCATTAATTTTCCAATATCGCCATCGTCAAATAAACGCCATCTCTGTGTGGAAATTGAAACAGCTACAATGAGTAAAAATGTATTGGTGAGGCTATCACAAATGAGATTAGACAGACAAAGGTCAATATACTTGGCAGGTGCAATTACGTCCTCTGTATTACAACCACATCTGTTACAAGCGATAAGGTTGTCAACGTGCGTTTTGATAGTTATTGCCAAATAGAACGGCGCCAAATCACAGAAGACCTGCTTATTTTCTCCAATAACCTGGGAGAAATCCGCTGTCACTTCCATCGAGGCTGTACCGACAGGAAACACTACTATAGGGTGTTTGCACTCACGTGACTATAACATGCATATAGCCCACCATGCTCGATGGTTAAACCTGAACGGGTTTACATACAGATGATTCTGAATTCAGCAAGCCAGTATGGTGGTAGTTGTGACTGTATGTGGTAGCTAACGGCCACGATACCCCACAACATGCTGCACGGGGATGTCGAATTATCCTGGTACATTACCTGAAAATGCTACTGAAGTGCCGAAATAATCTTGATTTATAGGCATTTCAAGACAAAACATCCTGGCAAAGAAGGTTATTGTAGCATTTAATCATTAATTATGTAAATGAGTCCCTGATTTGCATGAGTTATATGTAATGTTAAGGCTTCGATAAATTATGAGAATCAAACTGTTCTCCAACTCAACAAAGAAAATTGACTCACCGGAATTTTCCACCTCGTCCTTATCAGCTTTCTAACCCAACTGTTGTAGACACGTGGAGCGAGCGATTCGGTCGAAAATTTAGGTGAGTCAATTTTCTTGACTTGCAGAACAGTTTATTTAAGTCTATCGAAGGTGATTAGAAAAAGAAAAAAAATCAGCATGCTGGTAGGTTGGTACATAAGAAACTAAACTTTAATCATTTGGGCGAACATAGATGTCAAAAATGATTTAATTGGCAAAAATGGGTGAAAAAAGTTGCATTCTAAGCCAAAAATCTAAGTTCAGTACCCGTTTCGAATTTTAGAACAACGTTCGAATTCGGAGGTTGACGAGCGCGGGTCAATGACCCCAGCGCTAGGGAACACACAGGATTTCCAAATATGGGCATCCCCCATCGTGTGAAACTGCAACAGATCGCGTGGGCCAATCTCAGCCAATGTCAGTGGTAAGTTTTCCATTTCCTTCGTAAAATACGGCCATGTGAATGCCAGTGAAAATAAAGTCAACAGAATTTTGACGGTCATTTTTTTTGTTTATCCATAACTATTGTCGACGTTGTAATGTAGGAGTAGAGGGGGCGTTTGTTTACGTATCATGACAAATGATACATCAAATTGTTGTTTTGTCAGACATTTTAATCTTTTTCGGGAAGATATCTCTCTAAACGTAATAAGGATGATTACCTAGCATCCTAGGAATTTGACAGAATTTTGACGGCTATTTCAAGGCTAAGAAAATATCGTGGAGCTTCAAAGTAGGTGAGGAAATATGTGAACGCTGGTTTCAGTAAATTTATACCGTCAGTCTTCATTATTATTTCGTGAAAGATGTATCCCTCGTGCAGGAGTATTGTGGTCAATCGGTTTTCCGCGTTCGCAGCTAAAACACGGGGTTCCCTTTGTTTAATCGGCATGTAATTTTGTACGTCGTCTGCCCTTGATGATGCGCGTATTTTTATTTTTACCGGAGCTGTTTTCGTGGTCACTGTAATATTTAGGAAGCACCTCTACATTTAAGAGGCTTATGGGACTGGCCGAAAAAAACGTTGTTTTGAATAGCGGGGGGGGGGGCGTTTCCTTCATGCAGATGCTTGGATGGGTCATTAATCAGAAACAGCTGTGCGTTGCCTGTTGCTTAAGTATACTGTATGGGACCTGTTTTGAAATGTGTTCACAGATAAAA